AGCCCTGGGCAGAACCCAAAGTCCAAGTTTAATCCCAATGTCACTGTCACAAAGCATTGTTGAATTCTAGTTACATTTAGACTGAGAGGCTTCCTTCTGTGGTATGGGAACAGGGATGGGGATGGAGATGGAGGAAGAGATATATAAATACGCATCTCACTTCATTCCCTGCCATCTGTATTTGAGAAAAAATAAAATGACACCAAGCACTGCATACGTAATTATGTATAATTATATTTGTGCAACTATGTATAATGATCTTCTATCACCCAAGAAGGTAGAAAACCCTCTAAAAATTTTTAAGATGAATCTGTATTAATCATGTTTTTTTTAATCTTTTTCTATTTTCTGAATACTTTGATAGCTTGGGTCCTTGCTGATACTGGAGGGATGACCCTTCCCAGGGTTAGCTAATTCTGAGAGATAAGAAGTATACCTTTAAAATGCAAACCAACCAACCCAGATCCCATACCCAACAATCTCCTCTCTCAGGCTTTTGTACTCTGGGACTCTACTTCTTTGCCCTAGCCATCCTAAAGGCAGGTAAGAGCCTGGTAACAACCACTGGGGACAGCCCTACACCCTGAAGCAAATGCAGTTATTCACACTAGCCATCCTAAGCCTGTTCACACTGCCTGGCTTGCCTTTCTCATGGACACCACACAAAGGCTCTTGCCCATGGTTTCCCCTCACTCCCTCTGCCTCTGAACTGAACCTGGTGCTCCCCCATGGAGCCTTGCATGGTGTGATATGCTCCCCATCTTGGGAACTGTGAGTAGAAAACTATCTTTTCACTAGCAATCATCTCCTGATAAGGTGCTGGCTTCACACACCTGAGTACATCAAACCTACATTTCAAAAGACAATCTTAATTCTGAAATAATATTTTTCCATAACCTTTTCCCACTTTCACATTTTAGTCATTGTTTTCTTTTAAAACAAGCTGTAAATGTTAAGAGAAAAGTTTATCAAAGTGTTTCATATTAAAGCACATTAATTGTGCAGAAATAGTTTCTTTTAAAAATGGAGGGTTTTTTTTGGGCTCCAGTCAAGATAATGTAAAGGAAAAAACTAGGAAAAAAAACTCATGGTCCAATTTTACCATCTGCCTTGGTTCAAGAGGGATCATAAAAATGAACTAGAGACATCTCCTTTCTCGTGCTTGTCCAAAAATGCTTGCCCATGTCCTTTTATTGCTTGTATAAGATAAAATTCACAAATAGACAAGCCATCAATTCCATATCAAGACAGACAAATTCTGAAGGGTCTCTGGCCAGGAAAAGAACTCACAGAGTCTGAAAACCATTTTGCACAGTTGCTGGTCTTTATACTCAACAGGGCATAATCTGTATACCAGCATTTCCCCTGTTCTCAAAGTCATTCTAGAATGAGTAAAGTCATTCTAGAAATGAGACTCTGCCTTCTACTATCTTGAAAAATACATGAACTGTTTCTTAGAAGTTCCAGTGAGAATAGTGTTATGCCAGACAACCCTGACCCCCTCCTTCCACCTGGGGACCTACAGAGGCATGTCCATTTTGAAACTAAAGAATCATTAACTAAGAAATATTAGAAGATTAAGCAGCTCTGTTTTGAAAGCAGGTGTTTTCCGTGCTATGACTGACCACACAAGCCATGTAGCCAATTTAGATTAAGATTTTAGAATCATTTCATCAGAAAAATCTGCTCTGTTGGGATGCTGTGCTGAGAAGGTATGTACGGCCCCTCTGCCTTCCCAAAGGTGTTATGCTTTAGGGTCCTTCGCACACTGTTCTACTTGCTTTGTTGATGCAATGCCCCCCGCTCCTACTTTGAGAAACTTTAAAAGCTGCCTATGATTTCCATGATAGGTTCTCTCCAAAAGGCAAGGAAGGGACGTACCATTTGCTCAATGCGGCCCCACTTCCAGGCGCTAGGCCAGTGAGATGGCCTTGAACACTCCCAAGAAGAGCAGCTGCCCAGTTACTCAGCTGAGGAACTGATGCCCAAGAGGCCTAATAACTGGTTTGTAAGCAAGAAAGATGGAATTAAAATCTAGGTCCACTCAACTCCAAAAACTTGTCATTGAGCCCTTCCTGGGCACTTTCACTGTGCGAAATGAGGAAGAGCAATCTTCATCTAATGAACTGCACTTTTCTTCAAAGAGATCCGAAAGATTTTCCAAATCACAAATTGCCCCTGGAGGAGGTAACTGGCTAGACTGTTCCCCTTGGGAAGCACAAAGAGAATTCTGCCTCAGGCCTATTTACAGCCTCCAGAGCTTTTGTGGCAAACCCTTGATATGTCCAACCAGCTCAGCATTTTCACATGATGGTCTCTAGGTGGCGCAAGGAGCACATGAGTCAGTCTCCCCAGGCTAGAAATGAGACTAGAAATGCAGGCTCTGCTGGGCAAAGTCGGATCATTTCTAGCATTAGAAACCATTACTGACTAGTCGTTCCAATTTCTTAACTCTCTCATGCAAAGTTGTGATCTGGGAAAGGTTTCAGATGAAGGACTAGAATTGAAAACTAAAAAAAGAATCATGGATAAATTACGGAAACCAGCATTCTTCTCTGTTCATGAGGTCTTTGCTTTTACTAAAATGACTTTTCCAGTCTTTGGAGAGAGACCGCATAAATTCTAAAGGCCTTAAAATCACATCAAATTAACTTTCAGAAAAAAAAAAAAAAAGCGTTCTTCTTTATTAGGTACTCATGAAGCAGAACACACAGCAGACACTGACAACTCAGAGATAAACACTCTAATTCTAAACTTTGGAAGGGATCAACAATCGTGTCAAGACAGATGGAGCTACATGGAGAAAAATCACTCATGGAACACCCTGATTACTTCACACAGGATCAGAGCATGCAAACAAAAGGGGAGATGCCTCACCTCCCACCCCCATTACGGATGTCCTTCCTAGAGACCTGTAATAATTTGAAAATCTATAATACTCCGAGTCCCACCAAGTGTTCTTCTTCCCCCAGTTTCCCTCTCTGCTCCATCCCTCACCCACATGGCCAGAAGGAACATTGACGGCAGCCCCACCAAAACCCTTAGGACCTGGGGAAGAGAGATATTGAGTCCCAGGGCAAGAATGTGTAAAGTGCTAGAATGTGCATTTTCTATAAAGTTCAAGCACACTGGAAATCCAGGTAGTAGCAGAAGGAGGAAACTAAAATGGCAGTACAGCAGGCATGACGGGTACCCCGCTCCCAGGCTCTCTGCCAGCACAGAGCATCAGAATCAAGTGGGAGCGTTTTGAAATGCACATACTTTCATTTCTTTGCTGGCCATTTTGATATGACTTGAGGGTAAGAGAGAGAGAGAGAGAGGGTGATTTGGCAAAGCTTCCTGGGTGATTGGGATATGCCTTGCTCAACACACAAAAGTAAAACCTGAAAGGACTGCAAGTGAGATGGGATGTGAACCTCATCACATGCCCTGGCTAAATCCATGGTAAACAGGCTCTGCCAACAAGCAGGTGGGTGACAGCAAGGCCAGGGCCACCATGAGCCTTGATCATTGACACCAAGCCCATGGAACTCTCACCTGGGCCATCAGTCATGAAACTTTCTGTCAAAATTCTTAAAAATAGATTCAACTAAAAGATAAAATGGAATGTAACAGCCAAATATGGGATATGATCGTACAAAAATGACACATCGGTCACATCTCCATAAAGCAAGTTGCAAGGCTGAATGCGTTGCTTGCTGAGTACTCTTATGAGAAGTCATGTTGAGACTACCACTATAAAAACAATAACTTGTCAGATTGTTTTATACATATACATTTTTTTAAATTTGAGAAACATTATTGGAGAGGTTCAAAAAAATAGTCACTCTGATCTGCTTATAGTTAAACTGGAAATTGTCCATGGGAAGCAATTTGCTAACATCAAAAGCCTTAAAATATATGTACCATAGAAATGACAGCTCCACACATTTATCCAATAACATGATCATGGACATGAACAAAACCTGGGCAGCAAAGGGGTTCTTTATAGACTTACTGGTAATTTCAAAACATTGAAACCCTCAGTAAAAGTGCTTGGTTAAATAAACTAGTCCATAGAAATAAGGAAAAATTTCTCAATAGGGAGAAACAACACATGTTAACTGATGTGGAAACATTTTCAAAGATAATTCCCATGAAAGATAGGGTTTCCTAAATAACACATACAGCACGGTAGTAATGTCTAAATATTAATGTGTGTGTGTGTGTGTGTGTGTGCGTGTTTAAGGAAAGGGAATTGCAATTATAAAATAATGCCTGATTAAAAAAAGGTTTCTAATCACTGAAGCCAAATCTCATTCTTGTCATTTATGATGAAGGTTAAAATGGAAACCCAATTTTACACCAGCAGAATTTGAGATTGATTAGCCCAAGGTCACATGGAAATATGATGGTGATAAAGGCAAGAATGAAACGCAAGTAGAAACCAAATAAAAGATTATATTCAGGACAAACTGTGTTCTGATTTGCAAACTGAAGAAATAATTCCTAGGAGACAACTTATTAGCACCCATAGCAAGACAAAACTCTTAGGAAAATACAAACTGCATGAATCTCATCATGATCAAATTTCAGGACAGACTCAATTGGATTTTGATATGAAATCAATGTATGTAAGCAATCCAATCACTAACCCAATAATAGGACCCATCCCACAGTTGCCATCACTCATTTGATTCAAACAGAACCTTAAGCATCCTGTGAAGTAGCATTAATGAAGTCTAGATGAATTCCGGGCTAACTACTCTTGGTTACACTTAATCGGAACTGAATAAACAAACTCAGTATTAGTCACTCTTGTGCAAGTTATTCCATTTCACTGCAGCCAGAAGAGATTTTCATGTGATCCTGTTTAAACCAACTGAACATCTGGAAAATGTGGAAACTATTCCTGTAAGGCGCAAGAGGACCACACCACTCGGAAGAGACATCAGTTATGCGGCTGAGGTCAGACCCTGGGATGCTGGAAGGACAGAGCTTACTGGAGATGGCTTACTTACGATGAAGCCAAGTTTTTTATAATCCCGTGTATACATGGACTTGCGTTTCTCCATGCTGCCACTGCTGTTATTAGGTTCAGACTCTGCATCAAAAGCAATTCTTCGAAGTTCAAATATGATGTCTCTCTGAGCCTAAAGGCATTAGGGAGAAAAAAAAGGGTCAGGGAGAGAGAGCTGCTTTCAGTGTGTGACATTACATATACTCCCTCTTTCCCCAAGGTCTGAATGAATCACTGCACTCAGGCAAAAGAAAACAGATAAAAGACAACCAGTGTTCTAAGTTAGGGCTCGGTGTACCTCTCCTCCTCCTGCCACTCTCCCTGCTAGTCAGCCCTGGCTTTAGTCCACAATTATCCTCACTGCCAAGTCATTTGGAATACTTCTATCAGTGGTCTAGTCAAGTTCTAAATGGAGCCCCGAATATGATATAAAGCTTGTGGCTGGAGAAAGCCAGGTTAAAGAACCTGGGCACACTGTCAACATTAGAAACACTGTAAGAGGCACGTGAGATGTATGAATATTCAAGTGACAAGGGATCCCAAGTCCACGAAGAAGTGGCTACATAGAAATAAACCCTTAAAAATGGTGAAAGTGGTCAATTTTCTGTGATGCACATTTTACCACGGTAAGAAAAAAATGTTTGAAATAAATAAAAGGAAGGGTTTCCAAATGGGGAGGGCTGTTCCACATTAAGATACATTGCTTTCTGTCACTAGACATGGCAAGATGACAGTCTCATATCTCTGGGATGATGACACTTGGCCCTTGCCAAAAGTCCGGGCCACATTAGATGGCTTTTCAAAGCTCTCTATCATTCTGACTCATGTGGCCATGTGCCAGGAATGAAGTGCCGCGGCAGTTACACATGTCACACATGCAGTTCCCATCTGCGATAGATCAGACCCTCACGTGCCAGTAATGAGTGCTCCCCCTCCCAGAGCTGCAGCGCTGTTTAAGCTGAAAATGTGCTACAGCAGGCCTCCCAGCCATTCCCTCTCACTCCATCCCCACACAGTAAAGTTCCCCCAAAGCCTTCTGCATGGAGATAGAACTTTCCTGCACAACAGCCAGAGACCTAGAGAGAATTACCGCGAATGGCCCCTAACAAAGATGCAGGCCCAGAAATCAGGTGTAACCCGGGACCCCCACCCTTGGCACTGATTACTGCAGAATGCAAATGACTTCCCCCAACTGCAGGATCAACATCGCACAGAGCTTCCAAGGGGCTCTAGTTGTCTGTGAACTTCACTCCAAAGCCATTACCATTGAGAGTATCAGTGCCAAAGGCCAACAAGGTCTATGGCCATGTGACAGCAAGCTTTCTCATTCAATAAAGGAAGAATATGTGCATGTTTGATGCATAATAAAAGAGTTCATTTATTTTGTTCTCTGACCCTAGGCTCACCTACAATTTAAATCCATGCCCCCACGTTCTGAGATGACAATAAAACAATAAGATCATTATCAAACAATTCCATTTGGGAGTAGCCCAAGAAAAGACTTTGAATGACACTTGCTTTGCCTCACGTGCTTTGACTGCCAGTTAGTGGGCACCCACCTGGTCCTGGGGGTCCATCTTGGTCATCATCCTGTCTTCCAGGAGGTTGAAGGTAAGTACCTGCAGCACATACAGCTGGTGGGCCATCTCATTGTTGATGGCCCGCTGAGCTCGGATGACATGCTGGGGAGATAGTTCACCAAGGAAAAAGCTTTTAAAAACAAGCAAAAAAAACCAAACAACGAATGTTAACCCCCACCATTATGCCAAGTAGAACCTTGGAAGGCCTCATTTGGAGGCACAGGGGATATAGGTTGGTAGAACCAACCTTCAGAAGAAAGAAGAGGACACGGATGGCCTTGGAGTTTTCCTTTATATTCCAGGGCCTGGTCAGGTGCCTGATCATTAGGACAGAAACCAGGAAAAGACCTACTGTGTGCGGCAGGGCATGGAAGAGAGGGAAGCCCTGGAAATGCTCTGGTGATTGCGGCCACATAAATCAGGAGGAGGTGTGCCCCAAACGAGGGTGTCTTGAAGGGAGTGTGGATTTCCCCAGCAATGCATTCCTCACATCCACTGGAGCAATCAACGGTGCATGTGTACTGGAGAGGGACTTTGCCATCATCTTACCCTACAGCTGTCCCTGACAGGGGATCCCACTTCAAAATGGGGATGAGCTTTAGAAGCAACACACAAAAGCAAAGTACCTCCCAGGTTTGTGGTGAATCCACTGTGGAAACTACTCAGGGACCACCACCGCCACAATGCCCTGAGTGACTTCACGTGCACTACTTTCCTGGTAACAATTAAATGAAAAACAAAATGACCCTTCCCCTTAGAAACAGAACCAAAATGGAACAAATACAAAAGGAGTGGCAGCAGACTAGACATGTGGGCGGGCTTTTGCCCCCACCATTGCTCGGTCTGAAATGGCATTCAGCACTTGGGCCTAACATACATCCTCTTTGGCAGAGACCATGGTTGTGCCTTAAAAATGACCAGTTGATGTGATGAAACAATCATTCAAATCACTTATTCAAATCACTAAATCATGTCTTGCTGTCTGAAAGAACTTTGTGTCCCTGAACCTGGCATGCACCCAGACTCCATGTCATGGATACAAGTACCATGTCAGTTAAAGAAGGAAGGGTGGGGAGATGAAAAAGGAACAGAAAAAAGTTGTTGAATCATAGTTATGGAGATTCCAGGAATGAGAAGCTACACCGTGGGATGGGGGGTGGGATAAATGCCACATCCTTCGATCTTTAGAACAGAATGTTAATTGATGGTATACATTTACTATCCAAATTGTCTGGGTACTAAAGTATATGGGCATCTATTTTACTAGCAACTCAAGAATATCTGTATTCCAGTTTTTGCCGGAGAATACCAACCCAGAACTTCCAGCCATTGAAGTCTCATAAAAGAAGTCCCACTGGAGCAAATTGTTTGGACCTGGGAGCTAAGTCATTCCGCCCACCCATCCACCCATCCACCCACCTCTGGGCATTCTAAGTGTGACTGCCACACCAAATAGTGCCAACAACAGGTTAGGACATTTGTACAACATCTCTAATTTCTAATCCTTCATCTCCCCACTCTCCTCCCATTGCGTGAACACCTTCACTGAGCTACGCTTTAACATCGCAGCTTCCCCTGTTATTGAGAACCAGTATAAAAAACAACCACATGATGAATCCTTCTAGGATCTCTATAAACCATTCTTGGACCAAGAATCTATGAGAATGCTCTACTAACACCCCTTTCAGGTTCCAGTTCAGGAGGGAAAACTATGTCATCCCCGAAGAACTGGGGTACCTCTTTTATCAAACAAAGAAAATTAGACTCATGTGTTTCTCTTAATCCTTGTCAGCTAAGAAGTTTAAAATCAAATGTGATGACAAATTGTAGTCATTACTATTGGCTTTCGGGTCTAGACTATTTATTTTGTTTGCTTTCATAAAGTTTTTAATACTGAATGGCCTCATCCTATTGGAATGTGTCTGTTTTTGTGGGGAGCGCTCCTGCTGGGAATCACAGAAGCAGATATCACCTTTTTGGTAAGCAGGGAGTCAATCACACAGGCTTCTTTCAGCCTTTGGTTAAAAGTCAAGTACAGATAAGGTGTCAGGAAATCTTGCTATTTGATTGATTTCTAAACATTCACAACATAAGATATGAGTCTTTTCTCCCAAGGCACAGGTGATTCACTTGAGTTAAATGGGTGGGTCCTGCATATGCCTTTCCTGCCTTTCTCTTGCAAAGGGACCCAGGAAAACAGTCAACATTTCAGGACATCTCTCAGGGTCTGGTATGTTTCCAGCTAGCTTCCTCATTCAAAACAGTACGGCCTTATATTGGTAGATTTTTTTTAAGTCACGGAGCTTCCCTCATTTCCTTAAATGCAAAGCTAAAGCTCTGGTGAGTGCAATAAAACTGCCCCATTTGAGAGATTTTCAAGTCTTCTTGCCAAAATGTCTCTCTCTCTACAGAAATTCCAGAGACTCCTCCCCCCCAATCACATGAGGAGGCCATTCTTGTGGGAAAGCCTTGTTTATTCCAATTCCAAAAGCACATTTTCCCCTCCTTCCTAGTTTCAAGTGCTTCACCACAGAAGCAAGTCACAGAACAAATCTGAAGCCAAAGGAGATTTAAAAAATGCACTAGGCCTCTCCTCCCCAACAACACAGCCACAGAGCACAGTTACTCACTGTTAAAATGATGGAGCGCAGTTGCTTCTGAGCCAAGATATTCGCCATCTCCTATTAAAGAAAAACAACCCCCCCACAAAAGCTTAGGTTAGAAAGATACAATTCAGCACGGCCCAAAATGACTTTATCCTGGGGTGTGCTTCGTAACTGGATATCAGCAGTATTTCGTGTGCAAGAATGGACTCAAACAGGCAGTAGTATTCAAGCTACTTTTTGAATATTCTGTTTAGATAACACAGCCACGTCTAAAATCCAAGGAAGGAAATCTAGCACCTGAAAACTTCTTTTTTTAGGAATTTTTTCCTTCCAGGAAAAGGTGAGTGTGGAAGAAAAAGCAAACACTCCAAATGAAAGCAATGACCCTCCATTCAAAAGGCTCCTCAGCTTTCATTAGACTGTATATGCAGAGAGCTTTTACTAGACAACATATGTCTGCACCAAGGGGATGCCAATACTAGAGGATCATAATTTGAAACATCTGTCTTCTAAAAGTCACTTCATCTTAAGCTGTGCAAAGCCAAGAGTGAGTAGTACATGCTTGAAAACAGTCTGTGCAAGTGATCTTAGTGGAGTTTTAGTGAGGGACCAATACCTGAGCAGATGCTAAGCCTCAGGGTCCACCTCAGCATCGCTAGGGCTAATTCCTAGATGCTGGGCTTTGTGCTATCGCCTACTTGACTGGCATAGAGGATTTGAGGGTGATTTTATGAAATGAAATGATTCACAGACCCCCTTCCTAAATATTGGCAAACAGATACTAAGGGAAAATTAAATAGTCCAGTGCAATCTTGGTGCAAACATTCAAAAAAAATACTGCTCATATTCAGGAAGACACCTGGATGTTGTTTTTTTGGATGGGGGCATTTTTAGAGTGGCTACTTTTACTGAGTAGAGAAAAAACTAAGCTACAACTACAACCATGAATTCAATCAAGGTTAAAATAAACTTGCAGAAAGCAAGGAGAACCCAGAACACGGGGAGGAAGTATGGTGGGGTCCAGGGGCGCACAGGCAGGCTTGGACAGGAGCAGAATGGGAGCGCAGGGCCCGCTTTGAGCTGACAAAGGGAACATAGGGACTTACAGTCAGAGGACAATCAAGGATGTCAACACTGCTGTCTACGCCGACCTAACGGCGCCATGGCCACCACAGAAAGGAAAGCAAGCGGGAGAGAAGGATGGAAATTCAGAGGGCTCTGTTAGAGGTTCCGACTTTATTGTTATGCCCCTGTTGACCCACTGCATTGAAGAGAAATGTGCATAAATACTGTAAGGTGTTTCAAAGAGGCTAGATGGCATTAAAGTCAAAATACAATATGAGGGCCTCTTCCAACCTCTTGAAAACAAGAAAGCAAGGACAACAACATATTCAGAAATAAGTTAAATGGCAAAATCTGGAAGGATCCTGCCCTTCCACAATGTGTAGAAAGCCTCATTTTCTTCCTGATCAAAATAGAAAGGTCCTTTTTTTCTTTTTCTTGCATAATGAGAAACAAAAAGCCCAAAGGACCTTATAGTTCTTTCCATTTCTTTTCTTTTATAAAGATTGAATTAAGGCCTGATTGACACACAAGCAAAAAAGAAAAAAAATTCTATGAGCCTAACAATTTTATAAGAGTTTACAACAAATTGGAAAGGATGATATGTTCCCAACATCTAGAGCAATTATCATAATTGTCTGTTTACATCATTTATCTTCTGCATAATACAATGGTCACCCAAAAAACGCAGAGTCCTTTTCATGTTGGTATCCCAAGCCCACAGCATAATATCTGGCACACGGCAGACAGTAAGTGTTTGATAAAAGAATGAATGAATATTTTCTACTACCCTCCCTCAGAAGCTTGGTCAGAGAGAAAACTGAAAAATTCTTGTCCACATCATTTTTTCTCTAATGTTAGGAAACTATTTGAGTAACCTTGAGAATTCATGGAAAATATTTTATACCATTAAGATAGGAAAGTATAGATAGCTATAAACGCAGATATAGATATACTGACATGGAAAGATGTCCACAATTATCTTTAGTTTTTAAAAGCAGTTAAAAGAAAAAAAGAAACCAGTGCATGTGGTATGATCATATTTGGTAAAAAAATTATGTATGTAAGAGAGTCTCTGCATAGAACGAAGCAGGAAGTAGGGCCAGGAAAGTCACAAAGTTGTGAGTAGTTAGAGGGGTTCTCCGTCTAGGAATGCAATTATAGGAGTCTTTAAAACATCTTCCTTTCAATCTGTACTTTCTTCTTTTCTACTAAATCTTTTAAATAAAAAGGATTTTTGAAAATAATGCTTATCAAAACCATAAATATTTGTAGAGACATTTGGAAGGGATCTCTCCAACATGTTTGCCATGGAAACAGCAAAAGTAACGGTAAGGAAGAGCAGCCATTCGCCTCCAGTGGCAACTGTCTCCCTGACAGAACAAACATACTTTTCCTTCCTGTGTTCAGGGAAAGGGGAGAAGCTCCCACATCTGGGAGGCATGAGGAAAAAGCATGATCCCCCACTCCCTCCAGGAAGCTGATGGGGTGGCCTCTGCAAAGAAGGAACTTACACCCCAGGTCCCTAGCACAAGCCCATGCCTTCTCAGTAAGGCCCATCTAGTGAATGCAGAACACAAATACTGCTGGGTCTGCCTGCCAAGTAAAACGATCTGACAATGGTGGTATTTTTCTGCCATAAAGGCAGAAATAATATATAGGTGTTTAAAATCCATCCAAATTCATTTTATACATTTTGAAAAATGATGAAAACCCAGATAATGAAGTTCTACCAATATTTTCGGTCCCAGGCTGGGAAAAGAAATAGAAATAAATCAATTTTTTTTTCACTTAAGTGGAATTTATCCTAAAATAACATACAAAAAAGGCGTTGTTGTAAATACAATAAATAAATGCTTAGATTATGTTTTAACCTAATGGAGTGAGAAAATGGGCTTGGTTCTTTCAGGCTTGGATGACACTTCCCTAACACATTCAATGGGCTGCTCTACAGGTAAGAGCAGGGCTGAGGTTAGGATTCTAGCTCTGACTTTTATCAGCTGAGCAGTCCCATCAAGTTCTTTGCTCATTTTGACTACAAGAAATGTCAGAATTTTTAATTTTTCACAACAAAAGGCAATGGCAATAATATATGAGATACCGCAAACCGGGTGATATCACCAATTTGCCTGATCGTGTGCTATATAGGCCTCATTGACCTTGAGGAAATAACATCAAACTCTGCTTCATTATGAAACTTGTAGTTATTTTTTAGGGCCAGCTCTCTCCAAACTCACTGAAAAATGTTTTTTTAATTAAAAATCAAAATACTCTCTTTCTTGACACAGTGCTCACTGATTCATCTGAAATTCAACACAGTTTATAAAGTTCATGTAATTTTCTATGTTGTCACTGTTTTTATTTCAAAAGCTAAATTCATCATTTAATACTCTAGATTTTCTCCTGAACTGTATGTACTTTTTCTTAGTTGGATTGTTTTAAGTTGTTTAGTGTTATTAGACTACCCTTGTGATTTATTATTATTATAATACCTGGCTAAACTCCATCATGTCAGTCTCATGGTATCGCTTAATTTCCAAAAAATAAGATTTGATTCATAGAATCCAAACCTAACATTATACTGGTATTCCATTATATTTTCCTTGTTATCACTGTCCTAGAGTCAGTACAGACTGGCTGGCATCTGATTCCCTATTTCTCCATGGTCATTTGATTCCAGTTCAGCAGATTAACAGTAGTTGTTGGAGTAACAGGAAGATGCGAAATCTATGCATCTTACTCATGTCTGGATCCAGAAACTCAAGCGAAATTATAGCACTTGGGGTGGACATGAGCTTTGGTTTCCTCTAATCCAACCTCTCCTTACACAGGGGACAGGAAAGTCCCAAGACAATGCAGACTTCTTGGCCCCCACTCTCCACTCAGCACCAGGAGGTTTGGCCAGGCATCCTTGGTCTGGCCAGTAGAAGGATGAAACTTCTCCAAAGCCCAGTGAAGGCTTGTGCATATGAGAGCTGCCAGGCAATTTGCTTATCATAAGCTCAGTATTTAAATCTAATATAAATGTAAATATAAAAGGAGCAGCCCCATCCATGATCTCACCTATGAGCTGCAAAGCCACCCCTATAGATACAGCCTGGAGCCCAGGCTTGAGGATGACAGGCAACAAACCAAATGCCCAGGAACGATAAAGTCTTTCCACTCAAACATATCCCCAGGACTGAGCCAACACTTCTAAATGGCAAACAACCAGAAACCCTCACATTTAGTTGCTGAGGTTTAAAATCCTTGGCAGTAAAGAAATACAATTCGTGACACAGTGTTCAGTAGCATGCTAGTTTTCTAAATTCTAAAACAATTTATGGGTAACTGTCCTACAGCTCCTTGGCACTCTTTGTATTTGTTGAAAGACCTCATATTTCCATCCAGTTTTAAGTGAAGTGAGTTGTGATCAAGGTAACCCAGTATATGTTATGTTGATGGAAAAAGCATGAATGAGTTTTGAGGTATCAGCTAAATTCTGAGACAGAAGGAATTCCACTTCTTCCCCACTCCACTCTACAATGACCCTTTCCCTAGTTGAAGAAGAACCAAAGGTCTACACACAGAAGACAGTATCAAAGGATAGGTTCCATGTACATACAGTTAAGGGGCTCTCCTCCTCTGGTTTACACGGAGGAGGGCAAATGGATTGCTCAGTCCTCCCAGCTATATTCTCATAAGGGCAACAGAAATATCAAGCAAAGAGCCCCTCCGACATGTTAACAGCTTTCCCAACCAGAGGCAGCATCCTACTTGTTCTCCCCTTGGTCCTCTCACATTTCCATCTCACACTTCCCCAGGCAAAGTGCAACACCTCTCAAGATACCCGTTTCCTCATCAGAAAAATAGGGATGACATCTCCTTTCCCCAAGGAGCATTCAATGAGTGACAAAGAACCTGAGCTTCTCTCTGCTTCTGCCACTGCAGCAATGCTTTCGTCTTTTTATGTTTGGACTTCTCCATTGGGTTTCATTTGATGAAAGAGCTCTACCACTGGAACATTCCTAGCATTCTTCCTCTGACGAGGGCTTGCTTATCTCCACCCAGTTCCTACTGGACTTGTGAATGATCCCAGACTGGCCAGCCAAACTGCAGAGCAGCAGGGAGGCCCTGGGTGGGCAGCAGAGGGCGCTCTCCACACCGAAAGTTGCCGGCCCTAAGAGGTCTTCAGACAGAGTGCAACTTACCTGCCTCCTCTCATCAGGGGCCTTCAGGAAAAGTGCATTAATTACTGCAATGGTATAGGTTTGGATTTCTTGATCTGTCCTGTGAAGACACAGAACAATATAGAAAGAAAGTCAGCAGAGGCTGCTCCTTAGTCAGACCATAAAAAGGCTCATGATCATCTCCCCCAGAAAAGGTGAGAGAGACGGGCAAGATCTAAAGAATGCAGTTGGCAATGAGAATGCATTTCAACCACTCAGTGGCTGGAGACAGCTGTGGGGATATTACTCTAGGTAGCCGGACAAATACACTGCTCAGTGCAGATCACCCAGGAAGTATAGGTGGCTGGCTGGTTCTCTCCCCTTCTCTTTTATTAGGATTTACAGTAGGAGCCACTGTGGTGTGTGTGTGTGTGAGAGAGAGAGTGAGAGAGAGAGAGATTTTCTGATACATGCAGAGAGAGAGAGAGAGAGAGAGAGAGAGAGAGAGAGAGAGAGAGATTTTCTGATACATGAAGTATACCTAGGAGTATTCCTGAGTGTCCATACATTGCTAATTCTCTTCCCTTCTCTTTTATTAGGCTTTACAGTAGGAGCCACCATGGTGTGTGTGTGTGTGTGTGTGTGTGTGTGTGTGTGAGAGAGAGAGAGAGAAAGACAGAGAGAGAGATTTTCTGATACATGAAGTGTACCTAGGAGTATTCTTGGGTGTCCATACATTGCTGGACTTATTATAAAGGAAACTGCTTTGTCTCCATGGCAATGATATTTCATATTGTAAAAATCTATTCCATGTAGAAACTTTTTAATAACAAAAGAACCAGTTTTATGTTTACTTATTTCCTGTTCATCAGAATGAAATCAGAAATTCCAAATGAAGCAAAGATCTAATGTAAACTGCATGGTAAGCACTAAATAAGATGGACCCAGACACAAGCAAAGAGCAGCCTGTGGGTGACATTTAGACACAAAGTGGGGAGAGGAGCTACTTACAACATGGCCTGTGGCAGGATGAAACCCAAAGCCCAGGGTGCCACAGGGGGGCTGTGTGGCCTTGGGCAAGGTCAGGGGAGACCCTCAGACAGTTCCCTCATATCTAGCACTGGGTAAGAACACACTTATTTTGAGGGGTTGTTTTTAGGATAAAATGAGGTAATGTATAAAAAAGCCTTAGCACAGTGCTTGGAAAATGAGAAACTCTTCACTTTGACAAAGTACACTGTGAATGCACACATATGCCCTCAAGATGCAGAAAAAAGAAACAGACTATAAAGGGAAATGTGAAAGGTTTTTTTTTTCCAATGGTTTTCACACAAAACCATGATTTTAGAGCATGTGTCAATCTTCTCTGAAGCTATAATCCATAGCTTGTATGACTTAACATTTTACGTTCTAGTCACATCCCCCTATCAACTGAAGGGAACATCCAACACACTTTGGTAGTTTATATTATAAACATAACAGTTAACATTTGGAGTCATTAAGAACTACTGAGTATTCCCTCACATCCCCACCCTGTATCCACACCCAAATGGACTACTCAGGTTTCTTTTTGAGAACTTGCAAATGTGACCTGAAAGGCCAGAGTCAGCAGTTACCAGGAGCCAAATCACATTGTCAGCCAGTTCGCTAGAGAAAAGCCCAAAGGAGGCCACAGTGTCTGTCCTGCTCAACGCTTAGCTGCTAAGTCACTCCCAGATCCTGTAAAGTACACCACATCCTCTCAATAAACTGCCTGTCCCACATGCACGAGCCCAGGATGCTGGCTGCCACCTGTAACCCCAAATGTTGTGATGTATGAAGTGGCCTGTGCAGTGGGGTCCTTCTCAGCCCAGGATCATCAGAGGCAACCTCACCGGTTACCTAAGGGTGGAGCCCCAAAGACAGCTGGTTGCTTGGGCCTTGTTACAGCTCGAGCCTCCAGAACAATAATTACATGTATTATAAAAAAGAAGGAGGTCATTGTAACCACCTTGACTCTAAGAAAGAAGCCTGATTTTTAAAATTCCCAGTAACTATGAAAATGCTCTTTACAGTACAGAAAACGCTATTTTAAATGACTAAGGAAAGGTTCTGTTGAGAACTTAGGAGAACAAATTGTCCCGTTGTGTCTTATTAAGAGTAAAACTCCCTATACCTACCAAGAGTCATCAAAACCAAGTGCCTGCTAAGGGCCAGAAGAGTGCCGAGAAGACACCTGGGGCTCAGCCCGGGGCAAGGCCTGTGCCATTTCAGTGTGGTGGACGACAAGAGCGGCACGTGGTGTGCTTGTCAAAATTCTTCTTGTATGTACTTCATCAAACCAACCCAAAATGTATCCCAGGGCACAGAATCGTTTTCCCTCCCCCCAGGGGTGGGGCAGCATGCTTACCCTTGAAGGTGTGGTATGAGCTGGCCAATGGTGATCTCCTGCGCCACCTTCTGGTAGAGGTCATGGCTATTGAGCACCATCGATTCCAAAATGGCCAAGGACCGCTGCAGGATTGAGATGTCTATGGCTGACTTATTGACAAAACTTGCTATCTGAAAAATCCAAGCAGGAAACAATTGACTATTTGTGGAGAGCAGAGCAAAGAGAGAGCGAAGGGGGCACATCAAGTAAATTGGGAGCTCATTTAAGAAACACCAGACACTGAGGATGAAAAGTTCTTAGAATTAAAGTAGAAAAGCAAGAAATGCATGGAGTCAACACTGACTGTTCATGACATTATTACAGAGCACTATTTATATTATATTCCTATAATTTATTAATAAGCAATTTTAAAAAAAAGATGGCTTCAAAGAATTATTCTCTCTGGTTTCCCTGGGATTATTCTTCTGAGTTTCAGCTTTTGAGGCAGATGGTTTCAACACTTATATTATGAGGATTACTGGGTTTCCCTGAGACAATAATTTCAACATACACTAACAGCCATTCTCTTCCATTCCCTGGCTACTCCTTCACCAACACAATCCATGATTTTTATGTTCTTATTATGATCCTGTTACATTCTTAAGGGACTCACACAAATCACTCTTGTCAACACAATTCAACTGCACCTTTTCAGTCACTGGCTACCCTCCTTGCATTCTTCAACAAAACGCTCTCTCCCCCCAACTATTTTTCCAATTTCTTATGGTCAAATAAATTCTTCTCATCTCAAATTTAGCAAACAGGAAAATGTTTAAATCAGCAGTGCTAAAAGTTAAAATAATAGTTCAAACTCTGAAATATGTTCTCTAAGGAATTAATCACTAAGACCTCAAACATAATAAATCACAATGTAAGGGGGAAGTAAAATAAGGGTTAGAATAATGGATCACAGTAACCCAAACACATGAGTACCATAAAGGTTTTATTTTAGAAGCTTCATTAAAAGTTATTACTGTCTGTTGACAACTCACACTAAAAGGCTGTTATTATATCAACATAACGACTGCTTTCTTAAAAGCTAAATAATTTGGTTCTGTGACATTTTCTTCTTCTCTCCTGTCAACACTAATTTCTCCCTTTCTATGGTCCCATCCACAGCTTCTCCTCATCCGCTCTCCATCCTTGTACAAGATGAAATGCAAAATCCCCATGGCAACTTGCAGTTATCATCTCAACTGTTCCTAGACCAGTGACTCCCTCGGGAAAGCAGGAAGATGGGGTACAGAGACCAAAACCCTCACTGCCCCCAGATACATCTGGATCTCAGGGGGTGGGAAATAAATGACATGAAGAAGTAGAGTAACAGTATGCTCTTATATTCCAAAAAGAGGGTATTTTATAACACAAATTACAGGAAGTATATGAGAATTTTAAGATTCTCAGAAGACTACTTTAGATCCTTTCATGGCTAGTAAATTTCTCCAACGTGTTTACTGTCCCTGGCAAGCCCTTGCCTTAACCGTCACAGTCTGTTCCACTCTATCAAATCTACCGTGCTAAGGCCACCCTTCTTTCCTTCTCTAAGGCCATCTTTCTCTGACAAAAATCCAGTTACCCTTATCCTGTGCACATGGTTTAATACTTAGATCTCATCTAAATAGAATATAAATTCTTTGACTCACCACCAACACCACCCCGACTATTCTTCATTATCCCAACACAATTCTTGGTAATTTGTGGAAAACTTAATTCAGTAATAATACTTGTGACTTTTCTCTGCAACAATTCTCGCTTCCTTCCACATTCTTTAGCTTATCTCCCTTTGGTAAATTTGGATGTACCTTTGACTCCATGAAGAATTTTCCACCTGAGAGCCCACATCCAACTTTCTCCCCTACCCTCCAGCCTTTTATCCTCTTTTCATTCATTCAGGTAATGTATTATGTGCTTTAAAACAGGCTTGTCATAATAATAAGAGATAAAGAGATGAGTAAGACCCACATGATTTTTAACTTCAAGAACTTTATAGTCTAGCAGAGACAGATGGATAAAAAGGCATTTACTATGAAGTACATAAGTGCTTATTCTTGGCATCCAAAGGTTTGCCTCCATTGAGATATTCCAACAGAGCCTAAAATTAAATGAGGTGAAAACCAATTTCATTATTTCTTAATCCTCCCATCTCAGTCATCACCTTTCCCAACTTAGCCATAATCAATAGTAATTAATAATTCTGGTTTCCTTTTCTCTATCCCTGGGAACACACTTGCAATGTCTCCCTTTGATACACTTTCAGTTGTATATGCACAAGAACGGTCCACAGTCCAGCTCACTCCTTGGTCAGCAGGACAGCACCTCCTTTCATTCCTCTATTTCCACGACTTCCCTCTGATATAAATTTACCCACCACTTCCGCAAATATCCTTTGACAATATCTCCCTTCTCAAAATATTTAATGAGAACTTTCAATGTTTTCTGATATGAAGTACACCTTTTTAAAATGTATTTTAAAGTTCTCTACAAATAATTAACTCTCACGTTCTCCCAAAAGGCTTGCTCAGTGGTTGTAAAATAGTCTGTAGTCTTTGCTTTAATTCAGGCATATCTGAATCCCACATATACATTCCTATTCCATTGCCATTTCTATGTATTTCTCTCCTGCGAAGCTAATCCCTTACCTTAGTCAAAGTACTCTTTAGAAGTTAGTCTTTTCTATTACTTCCCCTCTTCCTTGACATATAGAACCCATCCCTTTAGCAATCCTAATGCAGGCTGCAAAATGAGCATTTTGTGCAACAACCTTAGCTGAGTACTGCCTGGCAGAGAGCAGGCATACAACCCATTCGAGTCTTCTGTTCAGTTCTAGAGGTGATAATTGTCACTTTTTAAAACAAACTTCCATTGTTTGCCTTTATTTATCAGTGGTCTTAACCAGACTTTCAAATGATCCAATATTTTCATCTCATTAGTCCTAATAACCAAGACATCAGGGCTGACTTAGAAAACCCAATAGCTGTAAACAGGCTCCTTATTAGAGCATGTATAAATTTGTGAATAGACAAATGCTGTTTTCCTTGTCTAGTTTAAAAACTATAGGTCTTAATATAACTATAGAAGGTTAAAGATTGTCAGGGTAAGTTTTAATTTCCCTTGTTCTCTCCAAAATCAATAATGACTTCCTATGCCTTTAAATTTTCTCAGCTCCATTACTGCACTTTTGGCTGATACAGGTGAGCAGAAGCTAAGCAGCTCAAGCACAACTTCCTGAAAGTGGGTCTGCATCAGAACAAAGAGAAGGTAAGAGAAGTTAGCAATAATTAAGTATACTACCTCCACCTGCTTCCATTCATTTAAAAACAAAAATAAATAAAACACAGGAATACTTGGATGACTTTTAAGAAGCTAAGGGCCATCACAGTGCATGAATCAATGATACAAACTATTAAAATCATAACTCTTCTTAGACTTACTTAGATCTTAAAATCCTCCTATGTTCTCAAAACTGAAAAGAACCAGGGAGAGCAAAGCTACAGCTTCCCTTTTGTATTTTAAGTTATTGAGGCAGAGACCCATAAATCTCTTCAGTTTTTAAGAGGTAAAAATTAGCAGTTCTCTAAGCCAAAATGGCTGGATGTTTGTACCGGCTCTGGGAACATTGCAGGGTTAACCAGGCCCTCCTGCAGAGCTAAGGTTTCAAGAGCATTTGTATGAAACTTTCCTTCCAAGACAAGGTACTTATGTTATACTTGGCTGGGGGAAACCAACACATGACAGAAAATTCTGGCTTTTTCTTTTCATTTCTTTCTTCTCCATGTTTCCCTATTCTCAGGCTGAGGAGCCAAGTCTTTAAAAAGCAGTAACCTATAACTGGCATTGAGGGATTCCAGGTTAAAGGTGTTTATGAAATGATGTTTTTTATTGCAGGCAAAGTTTATAAACTAATATCTAGATCCATGTATAACAAAAACAGATATTAGAGAAGGAGACAGGGGCTGGCAGGGAAAAAATATTTCTCTAAAATGGTATGAATTTGGCGTTAATAAGAAGCCAAGTCTGGACCCCAGAGATAAGCATCCTTTGTCAGAGCATTTCCTAGTTGATTTTTGTCAAGATAAAGCTCCATTTAAAAGACAGTTGCCTGCATACAATTACTGGGTTGTCAAAGCACTGAATTTGATCCAGCTAATGAGTAAAAAAAGTTAACCTTACAAAAACTATCAATTAAAAAGTCATCTTCTGGTGACTGTTTTTCAGATTCACATAAGGAATTGAGATCTAAGTAGCAATGCAAAGGTTGTAAATAAAATGACTGGGAATGAGGACATGGAATATATTAAACATACTGCCTTTTGAAAAATATTTAGTATTTTATTCAAATTGCCAAGATGGATAGTCTTTGCTTCCTTAGATCTAATATGATTATTTATTTAATTTCAGAGAGTGAATACCGTTTTGTTAAGTAGTTCGAAAATTAAATTATTGCCATTCTCTCTAACCACTTCTCATATCGCTTTAAGAAAGACAGCGTTGCAATTCCTTTTCACTCATAACTGAAATTTTACTTGAACCAAATTTAACTATAGTCTCACTGTATTTCCTCTCTTCTTCAAATTCTAGGGTTTTTAAAAAAAATGCTCCCAACTCAAATTTCATTCATTCATTTCACAGAAATGTATTAAAGTCTTACCCTGCACCAGACCCTGAGGATAAAGCCATGAAGGAAGTGTGGTTCCACCCTCACAGGATGCGGGGTCTGTTGGGGGAGCCAGTCCAAAAACAACAAATTCACAGAAATGTGCCAAGTGCTGGAACTGGGCATCCACAAGCCCCCGGGGGAATGGAGAGCAGAAGAAACCACTTAGCTCCACACCAGGGAGGTCACGGGGTGGGGCAACACTGCTTCAACAAGTCTGCAGGAGCTCATGTTTCCACCACTTGAGAGCTCAGGTACATAAGGATGGGAGAGGAACCCTGACCCACTCCCTGTGACCTCACTTGACCTCCCCAAGCCTCCTGACCAGGACCAACATGATGACCTGTTCTGCTCTGGAAAGGATTGCTGAGGGGAGAAAGGAGAATGTGGGTGAAGGGACAACACGTCTTCACAGAGTTCACATTCAGAACAGCATTGCTTTTGTAGTAAAAGAGGCTCTCCTAACAAGCAAGGCCATTCATAGGTAGGAGATGGAGGCTGGCCAAAAACCCAGAATGAGTTCAAATTTTGTTAAGCATAAAAATCCACAAAACCCAATATCTTCAGATTTGAACTTGCTCCAAGAACTTTTACCCCAGAAAGACGGAACACAGGAATCTGTTCTCTGCATTTATACGTTAAGCCTTAGCTTCCCTACCATCACCACAGGAAAGTACTTCCTAACATCACAATTTCCTTGGCTTTCTCACCTGCAATCATTTCTTTTCTCTTTAGCAATTCACACTACTGAGAAATATTGGCAAAAAGAGGCCTGCTCCTTTTTTGTGTGATTTCTAGGTGGTTCCCATTACTCGTATGCTTTGGCTTTATGCCCTTACAGAAGGAAAGAGGATTCAGAGGTGTGCCGAGAAGGCCCTGGGTTTCCAATCAGCTCTTGTCTGAAGTAAATATGCAACATCATGTAGACGTTCAGTGTGTAGGGCTTCTGCCCCCAGTACACTCACTGCACAGATGAGGGGCTCTCCTATGCCTTCATCTCAAGGCAGTATCTCCCAAGATACTGATTAACTTCAAGAGAAAAAGGATCAACTTCACAGTGGGGAGATCCAGCAGTACCACTTCACCCACATAATTCCATGCCAACATTGCCATTAATAAGACATATGGACATCCATTTCACAGACAAAAAAGGACACATCTCTACTTCCCTGATATTCTTGCTCAAAATGTGTAACCATAATTTAACCATGAGGAAAATATCAAACAAACCCAAGTTGTGGGACATTCTACGAAGTAAGTGACCAGTACTCTTCAAAGTTGTCAGAGTCATGACAGATAAAATCAGAGACTATCAGATTGGAAGCCACTAATGAGACATGGCAACTAAATGTACTATGGAATCCTGGGTCAGGATTCCAGAGTAAGGACGATAATAGAAAAACTAATGAAATACAATAACGGTAATAGTATTGCACCACCACCACTGTTAATTTCTTAGTTTGATAATTGTACTATGCAAATGTGAACATTAGGAGAAGCTGGATGAAGGGCATATGGAAACATTCTGTACTGCTTTTTGCAAATTTGCTCTAAGTCTACTATGATTTCAAAACAAAAGGTTTACCATGATTTCAAAATTGCAAGGAATGGTGGGGGCTCTACTGCCCCTCTCCCCAACCAGGTCCACCCTCAGTTATCCTCTTTATTAGCTTCCTGCTAAAGAAGGAGGAGCCAGTTGAACCAGTTGAGCCCAGAGCCATTTATCTCACCACGATTATAAGCAGGCTTACTCTGCCTAAGAGGCATGTACCCAAGCACACACCCCTTCTCTTATATCACTGCTTCCAACCCTGGCACTTAGCCTCTTTCCCTTTTTTCCAAATATCTGGTTGAGGGCAGAAGGTTGAGGGAGCACAGCAGGAACTATATTTAGATCTTAAGGGCAAGAGTCCTTCCTATACACGGATTCATCAGACACCTCTGTGGTTTTTAGCAACATGACACCTTGATTGCATTTAACAAGGGGTTCTCATGTGGAAGCCCTTATGATCCAGGTGGAGAGAAAACATCAAATTCAAAAAATAAATTCAGGTGCCCTGACCCCCACACACAAATAAAACTCTCAAAAACTACACCTATCTTTTAAACACTAAGAACTAAGGTAACAATTGCAAGATATCCTCAAAGCAGAGAGAAGTACCTATGAAAGAAGGAAGTAACTTAAGCCTAGGGAAGCATAATCTGCATTACCTTTTTAATGAATGCCACTGAAAATGTATCCCAGGACACTATTCCGTGGTCCATCAGCTCCACAAAGGCCGTCAGGGTGAAAGAGAGCATGTCTCCAAAGCTGGAAAACACAAGGCAAACGTGACAGAGATGCATCCAAATGCTCGGCACGAGGAAGGACACGAGCGACAGCATGGAAGACCAGTGAATACAGGCAGGATTGTAAAAGATCACTGGGATAAGCAGCTGGACCACAGACAACCTCCCTGAAAATGTGAGTCAATGGGAAAGAGGCAGGTAAGCTTCATAGAGGGGAGCCAGGGCTTCAGCAGGACAGACCCAGCTCACACGGACTCACTCTGGTGAGCTGTGTCGTACTGGGCAGCTCGCTCAGCAGTCTGAGCCTCTGTCCTCTCAGCTGGAACTCTGGACAGTGGCACCTATTTACCCACAGGGTGGCTTAAAGTGCACTTAACTAAGTGTGTAGCATGTAAGCATTCAGTAAGTAATAGCTTAAAGAAAAACTTCTCAGCAAATGAACGTGAGAACGACTAAGAGAGGCCAATTTGCTTCTTTTATTTTTCGTGAGTACCCAACAGGAAGATTAGAGATAATCACATTAAGAGTATTAGTGCTTTTCAGAGGATTCAAGTGGCCTATATAAACCTTTGTGTGTGTGTGTGTGTGTGTGTGCAAGTATGCATATGTGTGTGTGTTTGGGCAAGTACACATACACGTACACATATGCACACACATACAAACATAGATACAAATATGTACGTAAGTATTCGTTTTTATGTTACCCTGGCCAGCATTTTACCCTCAGTTAACAGACTTTATAGAGTATCTGTGGAAATAATGCTGTTTGCTGGTCAGACCCTTGCTGTGACTCCACAGGCTGCAGGAAGGGTCTAAGGTGTGGGTTACACATCCAGAGACCAGGCAAGCTCGGGTTAACACACTATCCTCCCAAAACAGCTCCACCTATGACCCGTATCAGACAATATCCCAGTTTCCAAGGCTTTCAAAACAGCTCTTTAACAGACACTCAGAATCTTTTACAGAAAATCACCTCTATTGTAAATTATCATCATGATAAATATTAACATAAAACTCTCAGGTGCTCTCTTCAAATACAGTGAACTATGCCCAACACATTTCTTATACTGTAGGCAACCACACTGGTTCTTATGCTTGCTTTTTTAAAAAATGAAGTTGGTTGTGCAGATTTTTCATCTGTAGGCTCAGATATATCACAATTGGTACACTATACAGTCTCATAAAATGTGTAGATTGAATATTCTCATCTATTTTCAGAACAGAATAGATAACAGGCTCACATTCTTTTTAAAACAGCTTTGCAACTTCCCTTCTTCCTACTATTCCCAACACAGCCTTAATAACAACCTTAGAAATTCTGCCTCATCTCAGAAGCTGTGATACTGAAAAGTAGCCTACAAAAGAGGAAGTGGCCCCCAGGAAAGGCCCCTGGGCCAAAGGTGTCAGGGATCTGAGGAGCTGGCATGCAAGAAGAATGGTTAAGTGGGTGGTTTCTGGAGTCTGGCAGCAGAGGATCCCCTCCAGCTCGAAGTAGGCATTACTGACGCAGTCTATGCTTCAGATTCTTCATTTATTAAAAATGGGGATTGATGACGATGATGATGGTGGTGGTGGTGGTACCCAACTCAGAGGATTGATGGGGAAATGAGAGCTACCAAACTTAAAGCCCTTCCCAACAGTGTGTAGCAGGCAGAGAGCAACACGTGAGCGTTAGCTATCATCATTATGTACAAATGACATTTTAATATGGAAAATGAAGTCCATGATTTTCAAACTGTGTCAAAAATTCTGTCTTTGAAGCCATAAAAAAAAATGGCAAGGAAAGCCAAACCATTTAGGCCAGATAGAAAAGCAGCAAATATTTTTTTTAAAGACTTTTTTCTGAGTCACAAACAGGCAACCCTAAATCTTACAGGTGCCCCCTAGGTGGCATCAGAGGATCATGCCCCAAAAATGAAATTCCAAGCCAGAAAACAAACTTATTTGAAGGAGAGAACCAAAAAAAGTAGAAAGACAGGTGAAAAATGTGTTAAAAAGAGTAGCAAGAGAGGCTAAATAAAAGTCTCAGAAGACTCTTCCTACAGATAACAAATCACAAGAAAATCCAAATACCAAATTGCAAAAAAATAAGGAAAATAAGAGAGCCAGGTAATAAAAACAATTAGTAAGATTTATGACTAGACTGCGTAGGAATTAGTATTACTGTGAACATTATTATATAATGATGCTTAGTATCAGCAGTAAACAATATTAGTTAATATATTATTTTATTATAGCATTAGTAAAACAATACCAGCTATTTTTTACTGTGTACAAAGAGGAAAAACAACAACTATATATGGTAACTAATAGTTGCCATTGCCTATACTGACATGCTACATGACCTAAACTGCTAAAAGATTCCCATATACATGACACTGAAGGCTAACATCCATGGCTTCCATACAGGACAAAAACCCTACCTCAGTATTGTCCCTACAGAACAAGCCATGCAAAAGGCAGTGACAAAGGAATGCACATCCTCGTGGAATCAAACTCTTTACTTTCCCTGCAGGTAATTGAGGCTGGGGATAGAGATGATATTAGTCATCATTAACGGCTTTAAAAGCAACAGGTAAATTACATTTCGGCTCTCTGAATGACTCTGTTCTCCACTCCCTGGACCCATAACCCAAATGAGGCTAGTAACAACTGCGGTTTGTCCCTCTTCAAATGCTCCAGAACTCTGCCTACAGGCTCCTCAGGCAGGGTGCTAGGACCTGGGAGAGAGATGGCAAGAAAGAGAAAGAGTATCACTTGGCTTCCAAATCTCCAAGCTACTTTTGGACCCTGGATTTCAATCTCCACATTATTCAGAAAGTGGAGCACCATTTCTGAGACTGCAGATAGGGTTTTCCGTGCTTTGCAGATACCTGTCAGTGTGAATGATGTGTAAGTGAGCAAAGCTTCCCCACATTACCTGCCAAGGTGCCCAGAGGAAGGCTCACTCTCTTGGCCCATCGAATAACATTTTATGTAAGTATTACATCATTTATATTTATATATTATATAAACATCTAATTAATATATATTCTATAAACACACATATTAGACATGTTATATATTATATAATCATTTACATTACATATTATATATAACAAAGATATGTTATTAGATAGGTCTATTTATATTTTATTATAAAATATACATAATGCATATATATAATATACTATGTAGAGATATATATATAGATATATAGTGCTTATATAACATACATAATTCATTATGACTAGTTGTTGGATGGCACACTAAGTTTCCATGAGAGAGAATTTTTTCAAAATTCAACTTCATAGCCTCAATTGCAAGGAAAGGATGGCCATGCTAAAATGTTATTCCAAATGAAGGGACTCAATCACCTCATCTCAAATGGGGCAGCTATAAAAACTGTTATGGAACCCTGCCACAGATGTTTATTTCTACTCCTAGAGGAGTGATTCAGGCTCTAAAGGGGGGAAGGCAGGCGCCACTGCCTTATCTCTGAAATCAACGCCATTTTTTATTTGTTTCCCTTATTTGTTTTTTATAAAGTGCTAAGCTAAAGATTTTGCAGTACTGACTGCCACAAATTAAGCTGACTGCAAACTTCACACGCTGGTCGAGAGCCATGTCAGAGCCAACACACCATGTGTGCTGGAATGAGTCAAATCAATGTTTCTCATCAACTCAGCAGAGACCATCTTCATTCCAACAAAATTCAGCCAATCTCAAAGCATTTTAATTCATGCTGCTAATTTTATAAAAGAAGAGCGCTTCCAAATGTTTCCACTGAGTGCCATGCCCAGGAGAGGAGAAGAGAGAAGATGAAAATAAAGTTCAATTTTGAAGTTAGCAAGATATCACACTGAGCAGATCCTTAATTGCCAAAATTAATGAATATAGTTCTGCTCTGCCCTTTGAGTTTTTCCCAAGCATTTTCTTTTGTGGTAAAAGTTACATACATTGGAATGTATGGATCCCTAAATCACCATTTAGACATTCCCTTACCCTTCAGAATCTCAGCATCACTTCCGTCAGCAAGCATTCTTTTGGTTCCTTTGTTGAAAATTTAACTGTGGATTGAATCTGGACTCTTTATTCCATTCCATTGCTCTGTCTATCCCCTTATCCCAGTATCACACTGTCTTAATAACTGACTTTATGGTAAGTTTTGAAGTCAGCTAATAAAATCCTCTAACTCTGTTGATCTTTGTTGTTTTTTCAAGATGGTTTTGTCTATTCTAGGTCCTAAGCATCTCCTTTAAGTTTTAGGATTGACTTGTATTTCTTTCTGAACTACACTGCATTGTAACTACACATTAATTTGGGGAGAACTGCTAACTGAGTGATCCTTGTCTTTCAAATCCACGAAATGATATATTCTCCACTTACTTCAGTCTGTTTATTTTTTTTCAGCAATCTATTCATTTTTCAGTGAACAGATATTGCATACATCTTATTAAATTTATTCCTAAGAATTTTGTGATTTTAACATTTTGTAAATGGGAATTTTAAAATTTCATTTTCTAGTTGTTTGTTGTTAATGTATAAAAATGCATCACTTTTATATGCTGATGTATCCTGAAGCCTTGCTAAATTGAAAAGATAGTTTTACTGGATAAGAATTCTGGGTTGACAAGAATTTCATCACTTTTAAGATGTTGCCTTTTGGCTTCCACTGTTTCTAATGAGAAGTCAACTCTCATTCTTACTTTTATTCTCTTAATGTAGTAAAGTTGTTTTTCTCTGGCTGCCTTCAAGGTACTCTTTTTATCTTCAAATTTTAGAAGTTTGACTCTAATGTATCTAGGTATAGTTTTCTTTTTTTTATCCCACTTGGGGTTCAATGAGCTTCTTAGATCTATAAATTTATGTTTTTCAACAAATTTTGGAAATTTTCTATCATTATTTCCTCAAATATTTTCTGCTCCATTCTCTTTCCTCTCCTTTTGGGACTCCAGTGAAATGTATTGTAAATCAACTGTTACTATCTCACAGGTCAATTACTGACTATTTTATCTATTCTTCAGAGCAGATAATTTATAATGATATATCCTCAAGGTCATTGTCTCTTCTGCCATCTTCAGCTCTCATACAGTGAATTTTTCCTTTAACTATTACACTTTTAGTTTTATAATTTCCAATTGATTATTTTTTATGCTTTACACTTTTCTAATAAGACTCTCCATCTGTAATACGCATTCATTTTCCTAATACTTTTCTTTAGTCTTTTAATATATTTATAAATGTTGCTTTAAAATCTTCATTGCCTAATACCAACATCTAGGTCATCTCAGAGTCAGTAATTCCAGTACTTGCTTTAATTCTTTTTTAAGCATGGGTTATCTTTTCCTGTTTCTATAAACCTAGTAATTTTGTATTATATTCTGAATACTGAGTGGGACTGCCAAGGCTCAAACTTCAGTTTTATTCTCTGAAGAGTATTGATTTTTGTTATAGCAGGAAGTTAATCTGGTTAAAATCAAACTCCACACTCTGCAGTGAGTGACAGTTTAAATATCTTCTCAATTCTTTGCATTTCCAGTTACAGTTTTTACCAGGTCACTTGGAGTTCACACACACACACATTCACACTTCAGTGATCAATGAGAGATTACGGCAGAGTTTATATGCAGATATAGGGTTTCAAACTCTCTGAACTTCCCTCCTCTCATGGATCCCCCATAATTACCTAGCTGTTCCACCAGCCCAAAACTACATCCTCTTAGTAACTTAGCTTAGTAACTTACACGCTATCTGGATGAGCAGGTATGCTCAGACAACAAGCTACAAACACACACATGTCATCTGAGGCCCATTTGTTCTCTTGAGGATTGACTGCTCTCTTCTTTCTGTCTGCCTTGGGTTGTATATCCAGTTCATTTAAAGTTACTTTTAGATGTGTTGTTCATAGTACTTTGTCCAGATTTATAATTGTTAACCATATTAGTCTGATTAAGCTACTCTGCTATTACCAGAAGTCGAGCCCTGAAGATTGATTTTTATTTCTGGTTGATAAGTGGAAATCATGGCTCAATGTAGTCACACTTCCAACATCTCTACATACCAAAAGATTAGAACAATTCTTAAAACTATTCACAGATAAATTTTAAGAAATTATTTTGTCTTCAGAGCCCCAAATTCCCCTATGCTAGCAAGTTGTATGAGGCTGTCGGAGAAAAAATTAGTATGGATCCCAGCTCTACCACCTGACTTTAATGTCTGTGTCAAGGAAATGATTCTAATCTTACTGACTGTATGTAGTATATATAAGTGTAAATTAGAATAAGTGTAAACATTGAGACAGTGCACAGGACAAAATAAATTCTCATAAAAGATGGCTTCTACTGCCATCTTTTCCCTTAAGTGCTTCCACTACATTAAAAATATATATCAAGGTAAGATTTAAGAAGTCTTACCTAAAAACTCAATATTGCTTTCTACTTTATTAGAATTTAATAACTGAAGAGTCCCTGAAACAAATACTTTATCTGTGTGGGATGGGTAGGGGAAGATGAATGATTTGGGACCAGCATTATATACTGAAGGTGATAAGCATTTTTTCTAAGGGTTTCAAAAGAAGTTACACACTTTCAAATGCTGTTCAGTCTTCTTTTTCAAACTGAAATTATCTGCTTAACAACTTGGCAGAATGGAAATTCATCCAGCCTATAATAAAGAGTTTGTTAGATTCTGTTTGACTCACCTTGTTTAGTGAATAATAAAGACACTGAGGGGGAAAACGCTAAGAAACAAGTTCTGAGATCTCCAACTACAATTATCATGCAGCTCACTTAATCGATAGGTGATCCAGCACTTTCCCAGATTCAGAGTAAATAATTTTCATTCCACACTTCAATCCTGAAAATATTTTTTAAAACGTGGATCTTTTCCTTACTGAGCCATTAAGGAGAACCAAAGATGTCTGAATTTGAACATTACATGGGCCACAGAAAAGAAAGATTTTGTTTAATATAATACATAAAATTATGCATATCCTTGTTCCACGAGAAGGGTAGCAATTCTGATGTGATCATTTGGTGGTTACAAACATACAATACCTCTCACCACAAAAAGAGAAGGGAAACAGATTTTTAAAGAACTTGTTTATAAGAACTTCAAACAGAAAGAAAAAAAACACACACATCACTAACTTAAAATATCTCCATGCACAGTTACACAGTCAGAAGACAGGGTTTAATTATTCAGAGAAGAAGGAAGTGTTGCATCATCTGTATCAATTGATCAAAATTTCTTACCAAGGCTTCATGATCTTCTGCAATTTCTGGTATCGTCTGCAAAATTTAAAAACAACCATGTGAGAAGCATGTTTGAAACAAATGATTTTTACACAATGGACATTATCTTGAAGAAAGCTCAGGATCAGATATAAGACCAATTTAACTGCTATGATGTAAGGGAACTTTATTCACTTTGAAACATTATTCGAAATAATAAATTGGTATTTTTTATGATAAGAAACAATCAAAACACAAGGATTAAACTATTGTAACAAACCTTATGAGTAAAGGCAACAAGAACACTTCATTTGGATCAGAATGGGTGTATATTCAATGAGGGAAGAAGACCCTAGAGATACGAATGGGTATATTTTCAATGAAGAAAGTGTAGCCAGAAAGTACTAGATCAGTTCTTAAGTACAGGCTCAACAGAGAAGAAATACTTGATTTTCTTGGGTAAAATGTCTATTAATTCTACTTTCTCTTTCTTGAGGAAAAAGATTACTTCTTTGGAAAGAAGAAGTCATGAGACATTGCAATAGTCCTGGACAAGACATGGAACTCTGGGATGGTAGCCTGCAAAAAAAGGTTGTGCAATAGATAAATGTTGTCTGCAAGAAAGGACAATTATGCTTTTTAAAAAATGGGTCAAGAAGATAAGGCAACAAGTGATTTTAATCCTATCAAACCCCTTCCCACTGCTCAAGTCTGCCAAGTCCCTCTGGCATCAAGTCTGTTCTTCCTTCTGTATTGAATACTCTTCCCCTATTTGTCCAATTAGCTAAGTGCTACCCCAAACTCACCTGATTGAAGGGAATCTGGCAAGCCTCCCTGACCTCTCATTTCCCTTCCTTGACCCAAGGGAGCACGGTGCCCACATCTGCACTCTCAGAAGCTACATCAGCTGAATGACTTAGGACATCTCACTGTCCTTCCAGCTCCCTGATAGGCAGGGGCTTGGCACTGCGACACACTATTATAATGTCAGGCACATGCACAGCAGATACTCAATAAATGGTTGATGAATGATTTGATGCTGCAGAAAAAATGAAGTTTCACATTTCAACCACATAAAATGTAACCACTTCAGAAACCTAACTGACCACGAGAAGATCCGATCTAGTTTTTGGTAAAACTGGAGGGTTAAAAATGTCCATAAAGAGATCTTTCTCTTTCTCCTCTCCTCCCTTCCCGCTTTACCTTCCTTTCTTAGAAAAAAAAAAAAATGCAACAGCTTCCTTCTTTCATTTTAAAAGAAAAAAAAATGTAATAGCTTCCAACAACCATTGGGAAAGCTGTAAGAAGTAGGTGGCTACAGGGAAGCAGGCCTGAGCAGAAGTTGGTTTCTCTTGCAAGGACCAAACACTCCCTCCCCTCCACTAAAAGGAATTGAGGCTCTTTGGAGAAATGACTCCTGCCAAGGCTAGGACAGGGATAGATTAGATAAGTCTGGAGCAACTCATTGAGCCAGAAAGTAACAAAACAGGTCAGAAGGACACAGAAGACAGTTTGAAGAGGCTTCCATGGCTAAATCTGGGACAACTTGAGCTTCAAAATGAGTAATAGTGATAGAGTATAGCCCAGTGAATAAATCAGGAATGATTAACTCCACATTGTTTGAATGAGTGGTGTGCCTGTATTGTGGGAGAACCAAATCTCTGGGGGAAAACATATCAGCCTGATTTGTACCATTTTTCATTTTCCACAGTGTAACTACTCCAAAATTATTTACTAACAAATTACAAAGGGGGGATTAAGCATTACAGTGGAGATCTAGAAGGGGTTATCGTAATCAAGTGGTCAAAGTGAACACCAGTAATAAGATGAAGAGATACCATGTGCCATCAATAGAACGCAGTGAAAATGCACAAGCTTCTGAGATATTCCAAAGACATGTAATATGAGTCTAAAATGAGAAAAAGTTGAAGACATGTGTTGGGAAAAAATCTGTGTTTCAGTGGGAAATTATGCACTGTCTATAGCATACTCTTCAGGGTTATCAGATCCCAGGCCTGTTGTCTTAAAGTTGTAAGTAACTGATGGGTTTGTATATTTTGGTTTGTCTGGTAGTGATTTAATCTACTTCCTCCCTGCAGGTGAAAAATCAGTTTTGTCTCCATTTGCAATCCAGTTCAACATTTCTTTATTCTATATAAATTGGTGCCCTTTTGACTTTTCCTTTGAAACTGTTAAAACATCTGCCTGGTTCCCTCATATCAGAGAATGAGGAATGAGAAAAATACATTTCTTTTAATACATATTCACTTTTATATCTGTGTGAGAGTCATGCTTTTATTTTTCCTTAAAATTACCTTTAATAAATTACTTTTTAACCAACCCAGATTGGAGGATACTCTAAAAATGGCTGACCTGTGTTCTTAAAAAATGCCAAAGTCATGAAAAGAAAGGAGCCATTAAGTTATGCTTAGGAAAAACAGGACAACTGAGCGCCAGGTGCTATCTTGACTTAAAACTTTGTATTAAAGGACATGCCTCAGACTCCTGGGGAATCTTAACCTTGGAACGATTCCATAAAGAGTTTGGAATGGCTAAATTAATTAACAAGAGGTCATTAGACTGAGGTGGCTTTAATGCCAGGTGGCCTATGTAAGTGGACCAAACTATAAGGCTTTAAATGTCTTAGGGTTACAAAATTGAAACCTAGGACAAGCAATCACAGCCACCAGCATCAAGTTATAGCCAATCCAGTAATTTTCTGGCTTTGCTTCCAGCCTTTTCTCTAGAAAAGTATCCCTGGTCCCAGTTTGGCACTGACTGATTCTGATTTCTGCTCAAGTAAACTCTTAAAATGTTTAATATGCCTCTGTTTATCTTATAAGAGAATGGCTTCAAAATAAATATGTGTTTTGTGTGTGTGTGAGCAATATATAAAGCAGTCACTGTAACTTTTCACCCCAAAAGAGCTTTCTGGCTTGAGCATGTTTAGGTTATTTTAGTTGTTGCACTTCTGCAGCCGACCTTGGCCTTGGAAAGTTCTCCTGGACAAGAGTGCAGAGATTCATGTTGAATCGCAGTGTTTCTTACTTCTCAACGTCCTCATTTTAGCTTTAGATTGAACATAACAGAAGGGGACATTTTGTGTCATGATATTTGTTTTCTTGAGGTTCCCAGTCTACCTACCTATCTCTCAACATACCCACTAACATATAAGACTCATATACATGACTCTGGAACAGCTGATGTTTCGGAGTGGCCAGAAGCCTCTCACCTCAGCCCAAAATATGGCATTCTGTTCCCTAGCATAAGATGATCTCTTCTTTAAACAGGCTACACCAGCCCCTTCTCATTTCCATTACTAGAGCGATGCACAAAGACACAGAAACAAAGCCAGAAGGGGTGAGGAGGAGAGGATCCACTTTAAGGAATTTTCTGTCACAAAATCCCTGATAAAGACTAAGACGGTTGACCCCTTTGGCATTTGTGATGCAAATTTATGGCAGGGCCCCAGAAGGGCTGTTCCAGTTGGAATTCCCTGAGCTGCATGTACTGTCTAGGAAAGCAGGCAGAAGGATATGGGGAGACAGGCAGCCTTCCCAGCTGGGGCCCAGAGACCACACAGAGGAGCTTCTTTTTGGCTATGACTGGGGAGCTGCTTGCTCCTCCCTATGGCCTCTGTCCAAGGTGAAGTACAGGACATGCACTGTGTGACCCGTGCTTAGCTGCAAGACAGTGAGTCACTGATCAATTTGGCCTGGCCTATGCCTTTCAGAACAGCCAAGGCTTATAAGACTCACCAAATTCTAAGAAGCAAGAGCATGAGTTAAAGCTGATAATGCATGTCCGTGAAAGTTAACATTGCTATCAAAATAGATATTCATCTTATGTGTGAAACAATTTTTAAAAAGGTCATGCATAGCCAAAACTGTCATATTCATCTTTGTATTTTATACTCATACATTCCCCTATGTGCCTAACAGTGTTGAGATAGGGCATGGTCAAGGGACAAGTATCATGATTAATTTTTCCTGCCTATGATGAAAAATGACAAATATAAATAGTATAGAAGAACAGGAGGGACTCCATCTTAATGCTGATTCCATTTTTAAAAAGCAGGGAGTTAGGAGGTAAGATTCCTCACATATTTTATGGTCATCAGACAACAACCTATCCTAAGGCAGGGAAAACAGTCCTAAACGATATGTCCCTACTGCTTGAGGGTAACCACTATCTTGGAGAAGAACAGGATCAAGAAATTCCTTGTGTTAAGTTTATCTTACAGAATATCTAGAGTACACACTATGGATGGTGACATAATGTCTCTCACCAGAGATAGACATCACGAAGCCACACGTCAAACCTACACTTGCACTCCACCCTTTGCCCCATTCTTGAAAGCCTTTAAAGACAGAATCCTAAACCCTTAAGCACGCCTCCTCTTGGGGTTGCCCGCACTCCCCTTTCCTCAAGTGTGTATTTGGCCTTAAAGCCTTCTCCCTGCTCAACTTACTGTGTTTTGTCTCTGTGCTCTTCCGGTGGAAAGTGTCTTTGTTACTTTGCTACTTTGCTTTTCATTCAATTTTCTAGACTTAAGCACTAGTCTTCTCTCTCTCTGTTCTACCTCAGACATGTAGGGAAGGGCTACTGACATCTCTAGTTTGGGCTTGCAAGTTCCTGTCATCTGGGTGACTGGCACAAGACTGCAGCTGTATGATCATGCTTTTTAGTAGCCTGCCCGAAAATCTTTCTTTGCTTTGGGAAGTTCTTAGAACATAATCTTACTCCATCCAGTGATCTGCAGCACCCCCAAATCCTGGGGTGGTAGGGATATAATTCCTGCACCTTGCAGATCAAGAAGACACTGGACACCAGGTAACCCTGGCTTCAGGAGTTGGCAAGGGCTCTGCCCTATGTCAAGCAGGAGTTCAATGAGCTTCCCTTTCCTCCCTCTGTTCTTCCTTGCTCTCTGCTGCCTGTGCAGCTGCTGCCATTTGCTGCTACTCTCGCTTCAATGAACTATTTCCTTATCTACACTCATCTGATGTGGTCAAGATTCTTTCTCCATCAGTGTCAAGTACCCTCCCTGTCCAGCTGAG